TTTCAGAAAAAGTCCTTTCCCTCAAATCATAATTTGCTTTGTTTTCAATGCCTCCCAGAAGTTCCCCCAAAGCTAAAAGGTACAAGAGACTAAAGACAGAGTTCTCTTCTTGTAGATTAGCAACAAAGGAAACTTCATTAAGGTGTCAGATACCCTGAGGACAGATTTTACATTGCCATCCTAACACCCTTCCTACACTGCAAATATTTCTAACATAATTGGTGCCCAATTTATAGGGCATCAAACTTCCAACACTCTCAACGGGCTCTGTCCACAACCCGGTGAGATAAGCGAGGCAGGTACTGTATTTTCTCAAGGAAAAACCAAGCTCAGAGAGGGTAAATAAGTTCTCTAGGTGGTACAGTAAGTTCACAGAAGCCTCACAACCCCTGAGTTCTTAATGCCTCATTTAAAAAGTGTTTCCTTAACAGCTAGGTCCTAGTCTTAAAATGGGAGCAGTTTCACAGCTGAGAATATGACTTCAACATAAAGTATTGGCCAGTTCGTGGAGTATGGTTGTTTTGTGTGCTCGGTTGTCTGCTGTGTTCACAGACTGTTCCCTTTGTTCGCAGCCCGGCATCTCCTCAGCATTCCTGCTTTTGAGGCCTGTGTCATACACACGTCTCCATGAGCTGTGTGTGGTAATGGGCTTAAAATGCCTGCTCTCTTGGGAACCCAGTCACATATTTCTGGCACTCTAACTCTAAGTTTGGATGTGTTCAGAGCAGGACATTTTAGGACCTCACAGAGAGCAGGGGAACACCCTGTTACCTCCTGTGGTGTCTCCCAGAGGACCCATGTTGCCACACAGAAATTTCTCCCCACACTTGCTCATGTGTCTCCAGAGAGAAGCGTTTCCACAACGCGTGGTTAGAGGACTCCCCACGGTCGGACTCTCAGGCGCTGTGTTCTTGGTTTGGGATCCTCAAGTAGGCCCAGCCTCCTGAGAGCTTTGCTTATTGCTCCCTCCCTCTCCAGCCTGGGCTGTCCCTGGATTAGGTCAAGTGGAAGCAGCCACACACACAAACACGTTAAAAAAAATTGTGTATGAGTGTTTTGCCTGCATGAATGTCTGTGCAACGCATGTATTCCTGATGCCTAAAGGGGCCAGAAGAGTGTGTCAGACCTCTGGAAAGCAAATGCTTTTAACCTTCCAGTCCCTAGAAGGTTCTTTTTGCCTGTGTAAAGAATACAGGAGTTCTCAGATTCAGGAAGGATGCTTGTGGGTGTGATGTTTCCAAAGACTCTAATTTCTATAACAGTACCTTTGAAATGAAATAGACAAAAATCCCAACACAGCAGAGAAGATGGGCTACAGGCAAGCCTGTAGGGCATTTCCTTTTTTAGTGATAGCTCTGGTAGGACCCAGCCTATTGTGGGTGTTACCAGCCTGTTGTGGGCAGGTGGTCCTTGGTGGTATAACAAAGCAAGCTGAGCAAACCAGGAAGCAGCACCCCTCCACGGCCTCTGCATTAGCTCCTGCCCCCAGGTGTCTGACCTGCTTCCCTCCATGGGCTTGACTCAGGGCATGGAAGCCAAATAAACCATTTCCTTCAGAAGCTCTTTTTGGTTATGGTGTTTTATCACAGCAATAGCAGCCTTAAGTAAGGCAGGAATTGGTACCAGGTTTTGGGGGAACTGCTGTGACAGACCTGATCGTGTTGTTTCGGGGAGTATTGTAGAAGGACTTAGGAACGTTGTGCTGGAAAGCCATGGATTTTCAAAGCTTGGTTAGTTGTTGTAAGAACCTGGAAAAACAGGGCGGGGTGGTGCAGGCCTTGAATCCCAGCACTTGGGAGGCAGAGGCAGGCAGATCTCTGTGAGTTCCAGGCTAGCCTGGTCTTCAAAGAGAGTTCTAGGACAGCCACGGCTACACAGAGAAACCCTGCCTTAAAAAAACAAAGCAAAACAAACAAACAAACAAACAAACAAAACCCTGGAAGACTGGAGAATAATGCTGAGAGTAATGCAGTTGAGGGAGAACTGGCTTGTGACGTTTTAGAGGGAAGCAAAGATTCTCCTCATGGGCTATTTGATATGTGGAATTAAGAATCTGTGGTTTCGGTCAGCTGAGGCATGAAGCATCAGCTGTGATTAACAAGAACCACTGAAGTGAAACCTTTGCTTTACTGGGCTAGCTGGTGATGTTAGTTAAATAGGTGTGGGTGAGAAGAGACCAGCGTTATTGAGGAGAATCTTCCAGGGGTGTTTTCTTGGGGAGACACACAGGAGCTGTTCCAGAGGGCCTCTGAACTTGATGGGGTGAGCGTCACCAACACTGCTGGGTTTCAGGGGTGATGAAGAACAGCTAAGTCATGGCGCTGCGAGGCGGGGGTTGGAGACTCTAAAGAGAGCCCAGGAGCGCACGTGCTGAAAGTGCAGGCCCTTTGCAGCGGAGACCCCAGCATTTTAGAAATCCATTTCCATGCGATGACCACCAAGAACAGAGCAGAGCAGCAGCCAAGTGCAGCCAGCCAGAGCCTGGAGAGGCTGCATGCTGCAGAGGGCAGAGCTGGAGAAGGGACCCCGATCCCCTGGAGGAGCCCTGAACATTGTGAGTTGATCTCACACATTGCACAGAGTTGTTTACACTGTTGAGCTGTTTTGGCTTTCTTCCGGTTGTGACTGTGCCCTGGCTTTTCCCTCTTGGAGTTAAGAATGTTTTAAACTTATTTTTTATTTTACAAGCTCCCACAGTTGAGAGACTTTGAACTTTTAGAGAGATTTTGCAGTTTTACAGTCTTTGGAATTTTTAAGAAGACTGAACTTGCAACGTGATTAGATGCATAAAGACTGGGATTTTCAAGTTTGTAATATGTTTTATAACGTGGTATTGATATTGAGAACAAATGAGAAAGCAAAAAGGTTCTAGTTGAAAGGTGATGTGTTGTCTTTCAGTCTGACATAGAATTGTCAACTTGACATAAACTAGAGTCACCCTGAGAGGTGGGCTCCTCAACAGAAAACAATGCTTCCATCAGATTGGCCTACTAGCCAGTCTGAGGCACTTTCTTGATTAACTCTGATTTAGGAGGAGCCAGAGTCCCTGGTGAGTGGTGTTGCCCCTAGGCAGGGGCCTGGGCTGTACCAAAAGAAAACCAGGTAGTGAGTGGTGGACAGATACACTGCCTTGAGCTCCTGTCCCAAGTCTTCAGTGATGAGGTGTGACTTATTAACCAAATGAACCCCTTCCTCTCCACGCTGGTTTTGGTTAGTGTTTTATCGCAGCGAAAGAGCTGCTGACCAGGACGCTGAGACTAGAAGGATAAAGCTGTTTTCTACATGGTGAGATCCAGCTTCCCAGCACCACGCTGCCTTTTCTGCAGTGTCTATTTTTTTTTTTTTCCTTATCTTCGCCAAAAACCATATGCTGTAGTTGGATAGATTTATGTCCGGGTTGTCAGTTCTATTCCACTGATTTATGTAACCTTTTGTGTCTGTACCATGATGGTTTTATGATGAGGGCTAGGGTATGGTGCTATGTCTAGCGGTATTCCCCCCTCCTCAGGATTTCTTTGCTATCTGGAGTTTGCTCAATACTAATTTCAAGAGTGTTTTTCTATTCCATGGATGACAGTCCTGGAGTTTTGACTGGGAGTGCATAGGCTTTGTAGACCAGTTTGGTAGGATGATCATTTTCACAGTACTAACTTTTCTTTCTTTCAGTGTCTTCTTGATGTCTTTCTTCGGTGTTAATGTTTTCATTGTAGAGGTGTCTCATTTCCCCACTCAGCTTTATTCCAAGACATTTTTGTGGTTATTATGAAGGGGCTAATTTCCTTTGCTATATTTGTCTTTGTGTCTTTGACAGGAGTGGAGAAAGCTGACCTTCTTGCCACATTCCTGATCTAAGTCTAGAAACTCTATTTCAGTACTAAGCTGCATATATGTCCTAGTGCAATCCTGACCTCGTGAAAAAGTGATTTCTCAGAGTTAATTCTTGGAGCCCACTAAAACACAAAGCACAGGCGGACGGCACAGCCTGGAGGATGTGGAAACTCACTTCCCACCACTCAGGCTTTCCTCAGCTTGTGAAGTCACAGGATCTTAGGGCTTAGGGAAGAAGGTGTGCTCTCGTTCACCGTGAGACTAAGTATGTGAAAGTCACTAACGCCGTCACTGCAAACACAGCAAGTGGTGTCCGTTCCCAAGGATTGGTCAGGAGGACCTACCTCTCGAAAATACAGCAGAATTGCCTTGGTTCTGACTCCAACGTGTGAGTGTATGTGTGTGTCCACGTGCCTGTGTATATGTGTACATGACTGTGCGTGTGCTTGGTCCATGAACTATTTCGAAGATGTGCTGATAAACTTCCTGTGCCTTCTGCCTTGCATTAGAGATCTGTATGCTTAGGGAGTAACTCTAAAACACTAGTCACGTTTCTCTAAAAGCAAAACTTCAAGCATGATGCGCCATCACACCCTTTCCCAGGCACAGGAAGCAGGTTCTGAATGAAATTAGCCTTGACAGCCTCCCATTGAAATCACCATTTCAATGCCAAGTTGTGCCAGCTGTCCACTTCTCAGACTTTTAGCACAATTTTGAATTACTGTGAGCTGTGTGCAATGGTTGAGAGGTGAAGAGACTTTCTGATCCTACCTACTCACAGACTCGCTTGCTCAGTTGGTAAGATGTGAGCCGCTCCTGTGCTCTTGATCAAGAATCTGAAGTTTTCACCATCTGTGGTGCTTTGAATGAGCCTGGCCCCCATAGGCTCATATGACGGACGTCAGGGAAGGACTAGGTGTGGCCTTGGTAGAGGAGGTGTGTCCCTGCAGCTGGACTTTGAGGTTTCAAAAGCCATCCCAAGCCCAGCTTTTCCTCTTTATCTCTGCCTGCGGATGAGTGTGTAGCTCTCAGCCCCTTCCCCAGCAGCACGCCTGCCCGCCACCCTGAGGACAGACTAAGGCTTTGAAACAGTATACGGGGCCAGGACAGCATCATCAGATTTGCATGTATCATGTAAACACTGGGCAGTTCTGGACCTACAGAGTGTTTACCCCCATTTCTCCTGACTCAGAGCCATAAGGTGTCCCGTAAATGCATTCGGCTTGCTCCCTCTCCCCGCCCCCGCTGTTCTCAAAAGCAAACATTTCTGTGGAAGTACGGAACACTTTGCTCCACTTCTGGTGCCCACACCACTAGGCAAGACACAGTGTGGGGCCACAGGGAGGGCTGTGAGCTACAGCAGCGGCTGCTGCTGTATGCATAGTCCAGCACGTTCTTCAGCACTGTGGGGCTCTGGCTGTGCGCAGAGAAGTAGAGAAAGCCCCAAAAGTCCCAGGCTTTAGGGGGCACATACTCAACTGTGCCAAGATAGCCCAAGATGACGTTTCTGAGATTCTGACGTCTCGCAGACCGTGCACAAACTGCGGTCACAAACCTCCCAAGCCAGGAGCTGTAAGACAACACCAGTCTAGTCTGCATGTGTCTGGAAAGATGAAGGTGTCATAAGCCCGTGTTCCCGCAAAGGCTGCTGGGAAGGCCCTTTTGTATGCTTGTCTTGTAGCTTCTGCCAGCAAACCCTGGCATGTTGGGCTACTGGCTCATGATCCCAACATGTGTGTTGTCACAAGGCTAGGATGCAGTTCCCTGTGTGTTCTCCTCCTCTGCTCAAGGGTCATAGATCCACGTCAATTTTCGACTACTGTGCCTGAGGCTGACTTTGTGCTGAGTCTGGGCCGAGCCTGCCTCTGCTGCTTGGGGCTGAGAGCTCACAGCCCAGCTTGGCTTTACAGACTTGTGTTTCCTGATTGCTCATATCAAAAGAGGGCAAGAAAGGCCATTTTTGAGTTATTTCCTGCTAAATCAATCCAAGGAAGTCCTGGGTATCTTAGGGACCCCCCAATCTTGTGTGTGTGTGTGTTTTTCCCAATCTCATACTCCCCTTTTCCTGTTTGAGGGGAAAAAAAAAAGCCATTCTTGTGGGTGCAGGGAGGGGGGCTGGGAACAATGGAGCACAGCAGGCTGCCCTTCTGAAAAGTTGTAAGGAGTATTTTTAACCACAGTGGCCTGGCTGCTTCAACTCAGAGCTTCCTGATTGGGACAGTGGCCACTTTACTGTGCACGTGCAGGAATGCCGGCTCCCTTCCTCGGCTTCCCAAGGCTGTGCACGTAGGCTTGTACCTTGTGTGGTGGAATGTAGTTATACTTGTCTTCCCTGTGCCTCACTCTTTACTTCCTTCCTTCCTTTCCCGTCTCCCCCCCCAGCCTCCCTTTTTAGGTCTTTCGAGACAGTTTCTCTGTGTAGCCTTGGCTGTCCTGGAACTCACTCTGTAGACCAGGCTGGCCTAGAACTCAAGAGATGCACCTGCCCCTGCCTCCCGACTGCCGATTCCAGTTGTGTGCCATCAGTGCCACGCCATTTTTTCAAACCGATTATTTTTTGCTCATTCTCCTCTTTCCCTCTAAATTTCTTGTCTTTGAAAACTGAGCTCAGAGGACAAAACTTGAGCCCACCTTCCATCTGCCTCCCAGCCCTAGAGGTCATCAGGGCATGCCGTGTGTGTCGTACCCGTTCGGAGCACAGGGCTTTAGATTCTCATGGATGACAAGGATGCAGTCAGCTGTTGCTTGTAACACGTGTGACACGCGTGTCACTCCACACATAACACACACATACGCAGCACCAATGCCCTTCAGTGTAGCCTGGCTCATTTGTCAGCTGTGACATCGGGGCAGCCTCACTGGATCTGAACTAAGACTCTTCTAGGAGTTGAGGCTTGGACAACCAAGGAAAAGGCATGCAGAGTGAGGATGACATTCTCTCCCGAGGATGTCTGGAAGCATGTGGTGGCTGAGGGACAGGGTGGTGGGCTGGGGTACCCCAGTGTCAGCTGGAGGCAGGGTGTGGAGGGGCTCCCTGGTGTACGGGTACCAGCGTCAGTGGGAGGGCTGAGGCGGTGGTGGTAGCTATCATAGTTGGCTGGAAGGGATGCACATGTGGCATTGTGCATGTGTGTGTGTGTGTGTGATACCACAAACAGGCAGCAAAGCAAGACAGCACTGTTTCTCCAGCGCACTCTCAGGCTTCTGGAGACAGCAGCATAAAATGGGACTGCCCACGGTTTTGGCAGCTCACTACCCAGACCCTCGCCCCCAACAAGACAAGGCAGTATTAGGGTCACAAAGATGTCTTTTTAATTGATAACTCAATCTCGAAATACAATATTGCACAAATTAAGGATGTCTTAACAATTGTATTTATGATACAAACGCATCAACATTCATATAAAACTACGAGTTGGCGCATTTTGGTGGTAGTTTAGCTAATAGCGCAGACATTCCACAAAAAAACCTCAGCCTTCCACAAAAGAACTCACGGGCTACTTAAGATGTCAACGCAAGTCAATCATGTGTGGCAGCACACGGCTCAGGAAGTTGAAGCAAGAGGGTGGTGGGTTCAAGGCTGACTTGCACTATACAGCAAAACCATGGCTCAAGAAACTGGTGATAGAAACATTACAAAACTTAGCAGTTTCACTTAGGAACCAGAAAGTGTACGCACACTGGAAACTCTAAGAGTCTCCGTGTTCTCCTCCGCAGGGCCTGTGCTCCGACAGTGTCTCCACTGCTGCAGGCTCTTCTCTGTAAGAAGAAACTACTGTTTCAAACAAACACCATGGCAAGTCATACAAGAGAGTTTTAATAAGACTTTTCCATCCAAAAGAAAACTAATGCAATCTCTATAAATTAAGAAGAAACACTTACCAAATGCTGACCAGGCAAGGAAGCCAGGCCGCCACTCATCGTCACTGAGTGTACCATAAAACACTGGCAGAGGCAGCCAGGGAGAGCGGGGCACTGTGCTAGCTCTTCTAACATGGACACTGAGGTGGACAAAAGCTGAGATCTAGTCACCATACATAAGGGCCAAGTGAGCTGGCTGGCTGCTTACCACAAGAGCTTCTATTCGAAAGGTCTAAGCAAACCATCACGAAGCATGCCCTAAGGGCTGGACTGAAACCAGGCTTTCTGATACTAGAACTCAGAACTCCAACTGTTGTAGGGTCGGCAAATGAGGCATCTGATTATCACATTTTTTGGCAAAAACGTAAAAGGCGATGGCAAAGGTGAGGGGAAACGAGGCACCAGTACATGTTACCCACAGTTGTCCTGCCTGAGATTGGGAGTTGGCAAAGGTTGAGAAAGGGCCCAGGAGACAGACTCAAGCCATTCACTGCGATCTACGGGTGCACATCTGTCATCCCATTCTATTCCTCAATCCCCAGCAAAGCAATGGCCACGAAGCTGGTTCTAGGGCAAAGCACGCTACAGCATTAAGAGCAGGGCAGGAGTTTTCTGCACAGGACAGAGAGTGACCCAAACCAACGGCTTCTCAGTTTTTGTGCCTTACAGATAATACATTCCATGCTTTCGGGACTCTTTTAACATGCTGGCTTGGTTTCCAAATGCATCACTTTCTTTTTCCCCACAAGGCAGCCACGCATTATAAATTCTGAGCACGTGACAGTCACATGATTTCTTCAGTAAGCTCCAAGGTAGATCCCGGCTCTCCTGGAGCTTGGAGTCCTGAGGTGTCAAATGTTAAAGCTCTCACCACAGCCGCAGGTTCCTTTGATGTTGGGGTTATTGAAAACAAACTCACTGGAGAGTTTGTCCTCCACATAGTCCATTTCTGTTCCTAAAAGTGTTAGCTGTGCTTTCTTTTCAATGAACACTCTGACTCCTTGGGGAAAAGAAAACACATGTCATAAAGCCTGCAGATCAAAACCCAGTGAGTTTCCAGTGGGCACCATCAGCAACCCTACAACTTCCGGAGGCCCCTCCCCGCTGGTTCCCTTAGAGGGAGGAGGCACACAGCTTCCTGCTAGGCCAGTCTATGTCCAACCAACTATGACAGGGAAGACCCTTTCCCATGTGGGAATCCCACTGCGTTTCTGCTAAACTATGATTTGCCTTTCACTGTATTTTACTCATCCCCTCCCCCCCAATTTGCTGTAGGGAAATGTATAATTCTAGGAGTTTTTTAGTGGTGGCATTTATGAGATATATGTACCAGACACTGTCAGCTAAAACATTCACTGTACTGTTGTTCTATGGGCCATTTCTAACCAGACCATATAAACCAAGACCACACAAAGAGACACAGACCAGAGAATGCCCATGGGACCAAGAGCTCTAACATGCTGTGCAGGAGACCAACCTCTTGAAAATATAATCAGTTTAACAACGTGTTTTTCTTTACAAGACACCACACATGAACATATACCACAGGTCTTTTCCTTTGTAGGGGAGCAACTGAGGCTTATATTTTTGAACTGATTATTTTTTAATAATTAAAAACATTTTTATATTCTCCTGTGTATGGGTGTTTGTCCTGTAGGTACATGTGCAATGCCCACAGAAGAGGGCGCTGGAACTAAACCCAACTCCTCTGGAAGAGCTGCAGGCACTTACCTCTAAGCACCTCTCCAGCCCCAGTTTCTATAGTGTAAAAAAAGGCCTCTATTGGTAATTTCAGTTAAGTATAAAGAAGAAAGTACAGTTGGGAATATATTCCTGCTTGTCTCACACAAAAAGGGCTGCAGGTCACTAACAACACGCCTTGAATGCACACACCTGCAGGCAAAGCCTGTGGCTCTCCTTCCGTCCAGGATTGTAGTGTTTACTCTGTCTTACCCAGGATCTTGCTAGCCCAGGATGGCCTGGCTGGAACCCAAACTTAAGATCCCATCACCAATGGTAGCCATGTTAAGCCCAGGACATCATACATTACTCCTCAGGAGATTTTGCAAGATCACAGGGGCTGGTATCAAATGTGGTAACTGATAAGCTTTAAAAAAGTTCTCTGAACTATTTCTAACAGGAACTCAATGACTGGCTCTTTGACCTCCCCACCCCCCAAGGGAGGAGCAGTCCTGTTAGGCCACAGAGGAGGGCTTTGCAGCCAGTCCTGAAGATACCTGATAAAACAGGATCGGATGAATGGGGAGGAGGTCCCTCCCTATCAGTGGACTTGGAAAGGGGCACGGTGGAGATGAGGGATTGGGAGGGAATGAGGGAGCGGAATATGGCTAGGATACAGAGTTAATAAAATGTAACTGATAAGAAAAAAAAAAAAAAAAAAGTTCTCCGAAGTATAGTTGTGGCTGGTGAGCATGTGTTGCTCTTGCAGAGGTATATGTTTGGTTCCCAGCATGCATCTCAAGCAGCCCACAACTATCTGTCATTCAAGTTCCAGGATATCAGACAGCTCTGGCCCCAACAGGAACAGGGATCTGCTTTAACATGTACACACACACACACACACAGACGCACACACACCAGAAATGACTGGATGGCTCATTGATGAGAGGTCCAGGGGGTAAAAGGAGCTTGCTGTGCAGCCTGGCTGAGTTTTGGTACCCAGAATCCATGGTTAAGTGAGAGAACCAACTCCCAAAACAACTTTTGAGGAAGAGCTTGATGGCAATCATAATTCCAGCACTCAGGAGGTGTGGGAAGGAGAAGCAAGAGTTCAAGCCTGGGCTACACAGGGAAGACCCTTTCTTAAAAAACAAACAAAAAACTGGGACTAAAACAAACTAAAACCTTTCACAGTGATGACTGTGTAGAGTTGAAACAAAACACAATTTCTTCAATTCCTTAGAAAGAGAACTGACTGGCTTCAAAGTTCTTTAGGTCCTTTTCTGGACTCAGAGCTTTCCAGCTTTGAGCCTCTCCTTGTACTGGATCAACAGAACTGGGGAAAATACCACCTCTCTAATTTCAGTGGCTGCATGTAAGTTAGATAACGTGATAGTAAGCCTGTACACCAAGACCAAGTAGGTAGTGAGCACCACTCATGATTCCTAACACAGGCAGCAGTCTTTACATCAGTTTTGTACAAGGATAGAAGTTTTCATCAAGGCAAAGAGCCCAGTGTTAAAGAACCAAAAACTCTGTTACCTGCCAGAGCCCAGCAGGGGTACATACCTAGATTGTATCATTGGGAGGTAGAGCAGGATTTAAGCCTGGCTACAAAAGGAGGTCAGGGTTAGCCTGGGCTATAAAAGAACCTGCCTCAAGAAGACAAGAGAGCTCACCATCCTGAATAACTTCTTCATCAGAATCTCCCTTTGTCTTTGTATACTCCAGGCTGTAAGATAGGCCGTTACAGCCCCTGGTTCGCACGCCGACTTTCAGACCCACCTGGAAAGAATTGAGAGTATGAACTTAGTGTTAACAGTACAGATTAAATGACTAATAAAAATCCTGAAGCCAAGTGTGGCAGTTCACACCTTAAATCCCAGCACCTGCTTGGGAGGGTGAGGCATAAAGACTGTGGCAAGCTGGAGGCCAGCCCAGGAAAAGCCACGAGGGCAGCTTTAGCATGGGAAAAGGCTACAGGGCCAGCACAGGACCCTAAGGTAAGTCTCCAGAACCCAGATAAAGAGTTAGTCACCATGCCTATACACCATGCTGGGGAAGGAGGCACAGATAGGCCATTTCTGGGCTTGCGGACCAAGGTAGTCTTGGCTTATCCCTTGAGGTCCAGATCAGTGAGAAACTGTGAGAAACCTCTGGCCTTAGATACATGCACACACATGCACATTTGAACACATAAACATGAAAATACTAATACAAATATAAAGTCTAATATAAATACTTATCTGCACACACAGAATAAAAACAAAAATTTAAAGGAAAAAAGCAACCCTTGATATTTATTACCACTATTCATTTTCTCCTAAACTCCTAAAGTAACAAATTTCTGGTTATATAATGCCCCTGTAGGAAGAACAAATGTAATAGAAAACAAGTATTAAAACAACACAGAAGATGGCACAGTGGCACATCCCTGTAATTACAGTACTCGGGGAGGCAGAGGCAGACAGACCACTGTGAGTTTGAGACCAGCCTGGTCTACAAAGTGAGTGAGTCCAGGACAGCCAAGGCTACACAGAGAAACCCTGTCCCAACAAAACAAAACAAAACAAAACAAAACAAAACAAAACAAAATGAAGAACAAAACCAACACTGCAAAAGCACACAAGAAGAGCCACACAACTACTGCTGTCCAGGAAACCACCTTTTCTGTTTCTCCAGTCCTGGATGCATTTGCATCTGGATAGTTTTTATTATAACATATTAAAAGTTGTATTGTATGGACCTAAGATATCAGTTTTGCACAGTGTTTGTGTTTTTAACTATCATTTGGAAGTAATGAGAGAATAATGAATACTAGTTACTTTTTTGTAGTCCAGGCTGACCTCTAACTCACGATCCACTGCTTTATCCTTCAGAGTGCGTCACCACACCTGGCTTTCTTTACCTTTTTTTAAACATAGGGTCTCAAAAATGGTATCAATTTGTTATATAGCCAAGCCTGGTCTTAAATTCATAACCTGCTTGTTTCTACCTCTCAAGGGCTGGGGATAAAGAACCACATGGGGCTTTTTTTTTTTTTTTTACTTTACTTTTTTGTTTTGAGACAGGGTTTCTCCATGTAGTCCTGGCTGTCCTTGAACTCACAGAGACCCACCTGAATGCTGGGATTAAAGGCGTACACCACCAGATCCATCCTCTTTTCTTTTGATGGCAGAGATGTTGCCTTTAAAACCTGGCTTCCTTTATGAGGTTTTGCTCCACTTTTTACCATGAGGTGTTCTCTGGAGGCTTCTGTGGTTAGTGAACAGTGAGCATGGAGGCTCATACTGTCACCTGGCAAACATCCTGCCTTTTTTTTCTAGGAGCCTTCCTAGGCAGTCAGGTAAAAGATTCCTAGTTAAAAAGTATGTGGCACTCTCTCTCTTCTCTTTTTGTGTGTGGGTGTGTATGCAAGGTAGGGGTGATGGGGGAGACGGGAGCTGAAGCAGAGGCCACGGAAGATGCTGCTTCCTGGCTTGCTTTGGTCCTCATGGCTTGCTCAGTCTGCTTGTTTATATTACCTAGGGCCACCAGCCAGGGCTGAAACCACCCACAATAGGTCCGTGCCCCCCAAACCACTTCAATCACAATTAAGAAATGTCCTACGGGCTTTCCCACAGCCCAATCTTATGTAGGCATTTTCTCAGTTGAGTTCCCTCCTTTTAGGTGACTCCAGCTTTTGTCACATTGACATAAACTGGCCAGCATAGCACATTAACGAGACTTTCTAACAATATCTACCTATGCTCTCAATATTGGCACCTGCCTTTTCATCTAAGGAAAGAGTCAAGCAACACTACCCCAGGTCCTGCCGCCAGGGCACTCCGACTCTGTGACACTCCGTAGTTGTGCTTGCTTCATGAGCTCCATCACAAAGGGTAGCTGCACCCTTGCAAAGCTTAGAATGAAGGGACTTCTGATTCTGAATGGGAATAAGCTGCCCCAGGAGTGTCTGGATGGAGCACAGCTGCAAGCATTTCAGTTTCTATCTCTGTAAACAGGAAGTCCTTAAGAAACAGGAGTCGAAACATGTAGTAGACATTAGTGTGCAGCACAGGTCTAGGAGCACACAGAAGCAGACTGTGTGCCTAGTATGTCTGAAGCCCTACACTCACTTCCAGAAGCACAAAAAGCAAAAGCAAACAGAAATCGTCCTCAGTATTTGAAAATACAGTTTTAAGCCAGGTTTGGCAGCTCACACCTGCAGCACTGGAGAGGAAGAGACAGATAGGTGAATCTCTAGTGAGTTCATGGGCAGCCCTTTTACGTAGAATTCCAATCCAGGCAGGGTTAGTTGATGGGAGTTTTGGGAAAGGAGTTGTTAATGCTATAAATTATATATTTTTACACCAACAAGAACAAATACCTTACAAACCTACAAGCCTAATTTCATGGAGGTTTTTTTTTTTTTTTTTTTTTTTGGGTGGTGGTGGTGGCAGGGAGTGGGGGTTAAGGTTCTTGGTCAATTTATGCACTAGAAAGTCCAAATAGAGTCAGAGTGCTCACATCTATCAGCGTTTAACAACTTTCAGGATGGAGGTTGAGAAGTCCAGTCAGGCTGTACATCCAGAAAACAATCCAGAGCCTAACAAACGACTATCCAAAGGCCATGGCTTGAAACAATTCACAGACGCACTCAACTACCCTGCATGCAGGCACAGATCCTTTATGGGCACAGTGTGCCAGGCTTCCAGGTCTATTACCCTGGGCCTGGCTCACTTCACCAACAGCTGGTAAATGATATCCGTGGCAGACCTTCCGTAAGAAGGTTAGTGGAACAAACTGAACCTTCTCAGGAGTACGTGCAGCCATGGAGGAGGGCGACCTTTAGATAACGACCTGGAAGGTCTTCAGGCGGAACGACTAGGGTGAAAACTGAAGTGTAAGCACAGCATGTGCTGCATGCAGGCTCTCTCTATGGAACAAGTGTGAGAGGCACCACAAGCACCGTGTAGGCCAGTGGTTCTGGTTCTAGGAGGGAGAATCTTTGGTTTGCTAAAACTTAGGAAGAGAGAAGGTGCTACTGACGTGCAGCAGGCAGAGGCCAGGGACACTCCAGAACACCCTCAGCCACCCTACGGTACACTGTGGAGGCAGGGGAGTGCCCAGCCGCAGTGAGCACACAGACAAGCTCAGGCTGCTAAGAGTGACAATTGGGGGTCTGGCTGCTATCTATGGAAACACTCCCCCTGTAGGATTCAAGAGTTTGGATGTAGTTCCCTATAGAACACTTACCTGAGGAAGGCTAGGAGTTGACTCCTTAACCAGGTAAAAACTAACAAGACCCAAACACCTTAGTTAATGAAAACATACTTATTTGCAACAAAACACTTTGTCCTGAGAACAGAACTTTAGCTCTGTTAACATTTCAATTAAATTGTTTACTTACATGCTCTGGCTTGTCTTTAAGAAGCTGTTTTATCTTGTTCACAGCTGAGGGGGTCTGAAAAAAAAAAAAAGTTCTCAAGCTCAACCTCTGAAGCCTCAGACTGGCCGGGCCTCCACTACAGCAGCCTGCGGTGAGCACATGTACACTCTTGCCGGGGGATCTGGGTCAAAGCACAGAGCCATCCACCCTTTCAGAAACGCACTTTGCCTGGGAAGAGATTTTGTGAGTACGCTGCATGCCCTGTAACAAGCACAGACAGATGCTCACGAACAGCTGATCAATGGAAAAGCCAACCTTCGGCAGTTTTCCCTGTTGGGAAAAACTCCGTCCTCTTCGGTTCCATCTGAGTGCATGGCCAGGGGGTTACTTCTGGGGTGATTTTTAGTGTAGGTCAAGAATGTCCCTGGATATCTGGGTGGCAGCCACTCCACTCAGAAGTAGGTGTGTGGCCGCACACTGTCTCAGACCAGTGTCACCAGTCTCATCTTCTTAGAGAGGATGCTGGGAACCTAGTGTGACCCGTGACATTTCTGTACTACTTCCTGAGTGTGGCCAAGGGGAGATGTCGTGAGTAGTTTTCTCTAATGCCTAGTTTCCTACTGGGATAATGGGGGTAATCTCTTTCCCTGGGATTCCTGTGAAGACTAACTACTGAAGTGCGGGGAAGGCAGACGAGACAGATTAGTCTGTGATCCAGGAGAGGACTGGGGACCATGCAGACTGGCAGCCACTGTAGTGAAGGTGAGCACAGTCATGATAAGGAAGCATGTCCTCGCTACGTTGTAGTCATTAGCTATTCCAGCTTGCAGGATATTTTATGGTCAGGCTTAAGGTGTATCAGGCTACTGCTGAGAGGGGTAGACCACAGGCATAGCTCTGGACCAGGTTCTGTCTTTGTAGACACTTGGACAGATGACAACGTACAAGCTCAATGTGAAACCAAATCAAGAGTCGTAGAATTGATTTACAAAGCACAACATCAACATTGAAAACAACACGAGCTATGAAGCTGGGCATGACAGGCTGGGAAAGTGCTCAGTTGGTAAAGCACCTGCTTTGCAGTCGTGAGGACATGAGTTCAATCTCCATAAAACAAAACAACAAACGATAAGCTGGCCAGATGGGTGGGAAGCAGGTAGCCTACCTTACTTGTTTCAGGCCAGTAAAAGACCCTGTCTCAAATAAAAATGTGGAGGGCCCCCCAGGATTGAATGATACTGGAGGTGGAGGGCCTTGGGGAATGAATGACACCGAACTGGAGGGCCCCAGGAATGAATGATACGGGAGGTGGAGGGCCTTGAGGAATGAATGACACCGAACTGGAGGGCCCCAGGAATGAATGATCCGGGAGATGTCCTCCAGGCTCCACACAAATGCACGCACGTGTGCTGCACCAGCAACTCCTCTCCATACATACTCCCTCACACAAACAGAAAGCAGTATAGGATGTGTAAAGCGAGTGGCTACTGTTTAGTGCACTATCTTAAGTTATTAACATATGAGGTATGTGTATTTCTTATTGAGTAGCACTGAAAAAAGAAAAAAAAAATCAATGCCAGGGTGGTCTGTAGAGGCCTGACTCTCAGTTACAGCATAGGCAGACTGAGGTGGCACGAAGGCACAGCATGAAGGGCAGGAGAAAGGAATGTCCAACCCAAGGAGTTAACAAAAGCATTCATTATAACTCTAAGAAGCCAGGTGTGATGATGGCACATGCCTTTAGTCCCAGCACTTGGTGGTGGTGGTGGGGTGTGCTTGAGGCCACCTTGGTCTACCTGGCTGTCCTGGTCTCAAGAGTTTCAGAACAGCTAGGACCACACACAGAAATCCTGTCTGACAACCTTCTCCCCTCCCCCAAACCAAACCAAACCCAAACCAAACCTGCCTCCAACAATAACACACGTAAGTAGTGGGGCTTGTCAGGAAGAAAGGCTTCAATGGAGAGTGAAATGTCCACATGGGACGACAATGACCAAACTCAATACACAGATGCATGTCAAAAATAAATAAAACAAACTGCAGAAGAAAATTAACAACTCCTAACTTGTGCCCGCTGACTAAGTTATAACAAGACTCTAAACTTTTCTCTGGTTATTTGGCAGCTTTCAATCAAGCTAATTATAGGTGACTTTATTACAGCTTGCCATTCTTTGTACTTCTCATAAAATGAGGCTATATTAATAAGACATTTAGAGATAAAACCAAATAAACAAAGAAATTAGAGAAACAAACAGGTGCATGTGTGCTCTAAGTCCCTGGGATGTGAGCATCTTCTGTGACATAAAGCCCCACAAATTCCAACAGAGCAACAGAAAGGAGAGGCCTGGCCTTTGCCCCTAACTGTGCCCCTAACTGGCAGGCAGATGTTACCAGGAACATTGGCCTAGGCTAGTGCCCTGCAGTGACCTCAAACGCTGTCAGAATATACCAGTATTCGCCATTTCACATTTGAAGTGGCTGCTCTACAGCATGACCCAAGAAAAGAAGTAACTTTTAAATGTAAAACTATTTGGGAAGGGACTAGAGAAATATGCAACATTTTAATATTTAATAAAATTTGAGGTATCTAAAGTTAATTTCATAAAGAAACAGATTTAGTGAAAACGAAAGGGTTACTGAGGATAACTAGAACACTTAGAATGTGTTCACTTCTCACCCTTTGGGAGCCTGCCAATCATTCCTTCTTTCCCACCTTTACTTGTCTATTTTCATGAGCACGTTTCCTACAAAAGTGTCAAGGAAATAAATCTCCTCTCGGTCAACAGAACATGACTCCTGAGAGGAATCTTACGAGAGACTGCAGAGCATGCTGCAGCTGAAGGTGCCGTCTGCTCTACAGAGGACCCACGCGGTGGCTCACCACCACCTATAACTGTAGTGTCAGGGATCTAATGCCTTCTTCTGATCCCTGAGGGGTACCAGCCACTCATGGCACATACACATATATGCAGTCAAGACACTCATAGACATAAAACAAAATAACTGAAAACAAAAAACCGAGAAGAAAAGGCATAGCTTAGGGAAAAGTTTGTTGGAGCCAGACTCTGAAGTAGAGCCTGGGTTTGAATACATAGGTCAAAGGTGAAAATGAAGCCTATGGCACTGTGTGATCAGAACATAGAGGCTTTTTGATTAACTGGACTTGAGTTTTAGCCCCATAAAGTTTTAAGCTGCCTAACTTGGTGTTTTCTTCTTTTCTCAAGTCTTAGAAAACATTTAAGTAGTGGCTGCCTATAATTCTGGCTACTGGGAAGCTGAGGCAGGAGTTGAGGTTAGCCTGGTATACTCAGCTGGGTTGTCTCAAAACAAAACAATTTCAGCATGGCAAGTAAAAGCTTTGTATGTAGAACCATCCACACAGACGTTGGGCTGCTAACGTCCACATCTTGTATGCAGGGAAAGGCACACAAGGGAAAAGTAACATTAAAAGAACCCAAATGTCTGCAGCTGCCATCAAATGACCAGGATGGATCTTAACTCTGCTGTGTTCCTCCCTGAGGAGCTGTCAGTAAGGGGCTCTCAACCAAGAGGGAGTGACAGCTTAAACTGGCTACGTGGCCGCTCTGTTTTTGCCTTGTTCTGGAGACAGAGTCTACATATTCCTGACTGGTTTAACCCTTGACCCTCATGCCTCTGTGAAGTGCCACTGTTCAGCTGTTCTGATTAGTCAAAAGAACTGAATGGGTTGAATGGGGCTCCGGATGGGGTTGCCCTTTTTGTTTTAGGTATAGCTGTGTACTTGGTACTAGACAGAGGGTAAGTACCTCCTTAACTCTAGGTCTATGTGCGCACCCTGGCAATGAAGAAGGTCTTCCCTGCAAGTCTGGCAGCTCTTTACTGTATCTGCACCCCCTAAACTGGCTTAACCTGAACCTTCCCAAGAACCAAGGACTCGGAAGTCAGACTATTGAATTCCACTAAAATTTAACAATGTCTTCTAATCAGCTCCTGTGTAAACCATAGTGGCTGTTTAAAGTGAGAAGACACTAGGGGCTGGAAGGGTGGCTCAGTGGTTCAGGGCACTGGCTGTTCTTCCAGAGGTCCTGAGTTCAATTCCCAGCAATCACCTGGTGGCTCACAACCATCTGTAATGTGACTTGGTGCCCTCTTCTGGCCTGCAGCCACACATGCAGATAGGATACTTGTATACATAAAATAAATTAAAAAAAAAAAAAAAAGACACTAAAGATGTTTTTAAGAGTTATTGAAGGGCTGGTGAGGAACTTGCTATATGCTTGAGGACCAGAGTTTGATGAGGGAAGGAGAGAAATGACTCCCCTCAGTTGTCCTCTGATCATACAATCACAAAGGCATGCATGCTCACATATATGCATACACAATAAATGTAACTTGAAATATTAAAAACACAAACCAAACAATTATCCCAAGGCTTTTGCTACTGTCAGGATGCTGAGAAACACTGAATGTTTCAGAACTGCTCCAGAGTGGCCAGCAGGGTAGCTGGCTGGCCGCTGGAGCCCCGCCCTCCCTGCTTCCATCCCAGCACTGGGATTACAAGTATGCACCACCCCATCCCCCAACTCTAGCTGTTTTTTTTTTTTAAATCTGGGAACTGAAGAGGAAACTCAGGTCTCATGCTTCACAGCACGTTCTCTGCCAGCTGAGCTGTCTCCC